CGGCGGGAGGCCTGCATGGTTCTCTGGCCTCACCCGCACTCCTGGGGCGGCCGAGACTCTCTCCAGTACCCTCCTGCCCGGGCTCCTAGCCTTAAAGTACTGAAGCAGCCTTAACCTCTTACGCATAAACTTTCTTTACAACTTTAGGGACTTTCTTTACTTTCAAATCATAAAGAAACCTGTAAACTAAACCCTGGCCCAGTGGCGGACCTGTCAGGACAGAGCACTGTGAGGGCTCAGGGGGCCTGCTCGACTGATGTAACAATTGAAACGTTATGAAAATGTCTCAATAGTAAACTGAAGAGTTACCTTGCCATGCAGATTACTAGCCATCTGTCACGGTTGGTATTCAGGGGATTTTATTAACTACTGTGTTTCTGTTCTCTTGTGGTAGATGAAAATGAAGCAGAGAGACCAGAGGAAGAAAAAGATAGGTGAGTACCTTGACAACTGGAAGTCCTGTAGCGTGGCTGCCCCAAAATTGTATTCATTATGTTAGTCTTCCCATTTGCTTGAAAGTCCATAGTGCCTGAAGACTCTGGTGTCTCTGAAAATCCCCTTAAGATCATATGTTTGGTCTGCTAGAATGACTTGGCTTTTCTGTGAAATGGTTTTACCTGTGAAATTGGGACACTTGAGTATGACAGTTATTTAACTGTATGAACTGCAATAGCCTCTCCAAAAACACCAATAGATCTTTTATTTCTCTAGTCATTGTGCTTTGCAGTCTTAGTAATGGGTCAGGACTTCATTTGTTCTAGATAATTTAGAAACTAAAAGACAGTCTGTCTCCCAGACAGGCTTTTCCCCCTTTTTTGTGTTGTTTTTTTTTTGTTTTTTTTGTTTTTTTTTTTAACAAAAAGAGGAATACAAGGAAGCAGTGGAAGATTATCACCTAGTTTGATGTGCAGGTTGCATAACACATCTGCTTAGGGTTTTGGGGTTGGTTTTTTCTATTAGTAGGAGAGTATTTGAAAGAAATTCAGAAAAAGCCTTGCAAGTATTTGGGGAAGCCTGCTTGAGTTATGAGGAGCTGTATGAGAGAAACCACAAAGATGCTCCTTCGAAAATCTAGCTAAGTTGCTGGAGGTTAGTAGCAAGGACTGACTGGAAATGGGAATCAGTCTCTCATACTGAATGACAAAGGTCTCACAATTGATAAATTATGGAAATTTTTGATTGTCAAGATAAATTAAACAAATGAAGAGGAAGCCAGTGCAAAAAACCATGCTTTGTTATTTTCTATAAATGCTTCCAGTCAAAAGATTTTTTTTCCGTGAGAGCTGTTGAATTTAGTTGTCCTTTATGGGCTTCTTGTTCATAAGCTTATTCAGTTGCTTTTTTGAACTGGGGTCAACTTCTGACAAGCACAGTGTGATACAGCAGTTCCTCCACCACTTGACTACATACGGTATTGTTTTGAAGCAGCTACTAGATACATTTGATTCCCGTTAGTTCTTACACTACAAGAAATGGAGTTGTTTCCTGTCACCTTTTCCATGTCACTTAATGTTTTCCTAGACCTCTGCTGCATTTGTCTTGAATCATCTCTTTTTTCCAGGACAAAGAATTCTAATTATTTATTTGCTCTTTATTTGGAAGCTATTCCATATTAATCAATGCATTGTGTTCAGTTGTCTTTTCTTGACCTGGCACCTTTTGTCAGTATTACTGTTTAAGAAAACTATTTGCATAGCAACCAAAATGATCTTTAGAAACAGTGGTGTTTTACTCCAGTTTCTGGTCAGTAGGATCTAGCTTGGCATTTGGCTGCCTCAATACACAGTTGTGGACTGAAAAGCATAGCAGATGGTAGCTTATGCATCTTATGAGTTGTGTTTGGAACTCTGGAAGGGTGGTGACAGTTTACCTGCTAAAAGTTTTGATCTTTGTCCTCTCAGTTTTGGCATTCTTGGTATATATAAAAATCGTGAGGTTTTATTCAGGTTCTGTAGCTAATCTGTCATTGTGCTGGGTGATGAAGTGAATGGTCAAGCTCGAATCCTGAAGCCATACCTGGGCTGTGTTGGGTTTTTGTGCAACACTCGTGAGTGGGTATTTTGCCAATGGAAGGCATGATCAAAATCATTCTATTCAATAAAAATTGGCAGTTGCTCACTCCATTTCAGAAATATCTTTTCAGTGAAAGAATATTGTTTCTAAATGGCTCTTAATGCTTATTCTGTAGTGCAACATCCTAACAGTTAATGGAACTGTGGAAATTAAAATATTGCTGTGTAAGAAACAGGAGTAGGTGAGCCCAGTGAGACGGCTCATTTGTATGGATTTGACAGTGCTGGTCATTTTAGATGGACCAGTAGTTTTAAAATCTTTGCAGTTTTTAGTCTACAGCTAAAATATAATTGATTTTGTTTAATTGTAGCTATTCCATATAGTAGAAGAAAATTTCACAGTGCAGATATGTGAATTTTGATTCAGTGCAACATTACCTATGGGTTTTTAAGTATTTTTTCTATTGTATCTTTGGAAAGCGTCCATCGGGGGGGCAGGGGGAGAACGCTGTTATTCTCCCTTCATATATTATGAAAGATTTCAGTTTGATTTCAAGAGAGGATCCAGGTGTAGTGCCTTATTACTTCCAGCTATTCTACAAACATCCAGTTAGTGTGATTTATGATACCTAGGTATTATCCTGCTAAAATAAAATTATATTGGTCTAGAAATTTTTTTAATAAATGATTATTTTTTTTTTTAATTAATGCAGAAGGTAGCTGGAGCATTGTCTCTTCTCTGGAATGATGTAGCAAGGCATTTTTCATCATAACCTGATATGTGTGAAATAATATATGCATAAATACCTGGTTTCATCTTTTCCTGTTTGTTTTTGTTTAAGTGCTCCACCCCCACCTGGAAATGAAGAGGAAGCTGCAGAAAATGGCGTTGTGAAAACGGTAGTTTTAAATGTGTTTTTGAAATACTGCTTCAATTTGTTTTGATTTATAGGGTATTCGTAATTTGGCTAGGACTTATAATTGCAGGAATTAATGCATAAGTGTACGCCTTTGATTTTTTTTTTTCTGAAGGGTGTTTGACGCTATTTGCAGAAACTGTGTAGAAGTTACTAAATTAGGAAATCCAATTTCCAGCTGCAGTCCACTTTAAATCTAACTTACAGAAAATAAATGAATAGTACTTTCATGTTTTTTTGAGGGAGAAAGATGGTGCTTCAAGACAGCTGTCTTTGAGAAAAGACATCCCTTTCAAAATTATATTCTCTCTGTTTTTCTTCACTGATAGGAAAATAAAATCCTCTGATAATTTTTCTTTTTTGAACATGATAAACAATCAGCATTTGCAGAACTATGTGAAAATATGGCTCAAGAGATAAATTACACATGCCTTTAAGAGGCAACATAACAGACTTGTTTTGTAGTAGTCTTCAATGTTCAGTATGTCTTAGAACTTCCGTGTTAGTATGATGGAGGAAAGGACCAGGAAATGAAATTTACAGCTGCAATGTTGATAAAAGCCCTCAGTTTACTGTGAATGGGAACAGTTTAAACGTGTTCTATGAAACAAGTGTAATTTACTTCACTGGGATTTGTTAGCTTGTATCTTGCAAAAATTCTCTTAAATGATGCAGAAACTATTCTCATTATATTTTTGCAGGTTTTAAGGACTGGCCTCTCTCAGAAGTATATTTTTTTCAATAAGATTATGAAAGATATTAGAACTCATTTAAAGTTTGAGGGGGGGAAGTGTAAAACTTTAAAAGCTTACTCAGTTATTTAAACTGAAAAGCTCTTTAAGTGCACCGAAGGCTTTTTGTGCTGATGCTAATATTGTAAGTGAGCAGTAGATTTAATATGTTAGGTACAAGGAGGCAATAGTATACTTTTTTGGACTTGCTGATTTTTAAAATACTTCTGAAAAATCCTCATTGTCACAGTTTCCTTGTACTTGCATATCTTTGTATTTTTCACCTATATAAAGCCTAGCCTTGTTAGGATATTCGAACACCTCCATAAAATTCAGAGCTTCATGGTAAAAGGTGCAGATGAAAGGTCAGCACCAACCTAGGAAAATGATAGTGTTCAAGTTGGTTGAATAAGAAAAGTTGAATATTTCTGTGAGGAGGCAACTAAGAAATCATTGTTTGTAAGTGAAATTGGTTTTGGTTGAAAAGGTACATGCTCCAGACAAAATTTTATTTCCTGTTTAATGCATTTGTAATGGTGCTCTACCGTGGGTTGCTTGGTGTATGAAAGAGTGGTGAACTTGTACTTTACAGCAGTGGGGTGTTAAAAGAATGTCTTCTGTCTTCAGCTGTCATTTACAGACTGTCTGTACTGATATAGACACCCCCTCCTTGATTAGACTCTTTATTGTTACGCAAATTATATTAACATTGTATAGTAAGGATGAACTGCAGTCCAACATCTTACCTTTTGTGTTGCTGCTTATTTTTGTCTTCTGCGCTGCTGCTTATTTATTGCCAATTTATGTACCAGGCAAGCTATGATAGTGTAATAGATAAGGGCTAGAGCTCAGCTGTGCTTGGATAACTGCAGGCTACCTGGGCAGAATGAACTTTGCTTCTGTATGTTCAACCTCTTGCTAAAGGATTCAACAAGTATGTGAATAAGGGTGATCTGGTTGATAAAGTTCACTTGGATTCCACAAATTTTTTTAAGAATTTCCTCGCTAAAGGATTTTCTTCAAGCAGTTAATAGGATGAGTCCCACATGGATAATTGATGTGTAAAAGGTAGAAAATAGAGAGTAGAAGTAAAGGTTCATTTTTCACAGTGAAGGAAGGTCAACTCCAGTGGGGATTCTCTGGAATGTTGTGCATAACCTGTGCTGTTTAATGTGTTTATAGATTACTTGGAAAAGGGGTAAGTTGTGGGATCACAAGTTTTCTGATGTTACAAAGTTATTCAAGATAGTAAGAGCAAGAACTATGTGAAGAACTGACTGCTTAATGAATGGTTATTGAAATTCTGTATAGAAAAAGAAGAGTGATGTTCATGGGAGGAAAAACACGTTTACAATTAAAATGGTAGTCTCTGAGCTGATCGTTACCACTTAGGAGGGACCACTAGCATACATAAAAAGATCTATGAAATTGATGGCCAAGTGCTTGTCTGGAGTCTAAAAATCAGTTAAAACTTGGGATGTAGCAGAAAATGAGTAGAGAACAAAATGGAAGATACCATTATACCATAAAATCATGGTTCAATTGCACCCTGAATTCTGTGTGCAGTTCTGTTCCTGTCACATCATAAAGGCTTTACTTCAACTGAAAAAGGTTGGGAGAAGAAGAGCAGCAAGAGTGATCAAGGTAGCTTCCACACAAGGAATGTCTAAGGAGGCAAGGACCTCTGAACCTGGAAGAGCGGCATACATTAAGATATGATGGAGGCTAAGAAAATCGTGTATGGAGATTATAAGTAGGGACTGACTCCTCACAGTCCCTTCCATATGCAAACTTGGGACTGTTAAATGAAAGTCATAGGAGCAAGGATGAAAACAAAAGAGGTTGGATCTTCAGGCAGTAGACGGTGCTGTGGAACTCCCAACTCCTTGCCAAACAGAGTGTTGCTGCTGGGAGTTTATATAAGTCCAAGAGAAGTCTGGGCAAGTACTTGAGAGAAAGATCCATTGGGGGTTACTAAATAGACAAACCATAACTGGCTTAGGAAATGTCCTGAGTTGGTAATAACCAGCAACTGAAAGAGTGGTAGGGAGGAGCATCATATGCGTTTGCCCTGTTTTTTTCTCTCCTCTGTGGTCTCTGGGAGGGGAACACCAAACCAAAACACCAAACCAACCCAAAACACTGGACTAGGTGAACTCTTGGTATGAACTGGCATGACTGTTTTATTTACCAGGAAGATTGAATGCTGTGGAACAGAATAGCATGCAGTGTGCTCTTGTATCTGTTTTTGCAGCCTGTTTGCTGGGAAGTCTGAAGTATTTTATATAATTTACTGATGTTAGGAACTGAATAGATTTCTCTGAAGCGCAGTGTTCATCTACAACTGGAAAAACATTCATTTGAATTACTCTGGATATGTAATTGAGGATGACAAGAAGCTAGTCTTGCAGATCTTTAAGTTCTTTCCTGAGTGGCAAGACAAAAGGAGAACCAGTGAGTATGAGCTAGATAGAGGGAAGAAGGATATTAGATAGTGGAAACTATTTTATGCTTATTTAGGAAATGTCATGTTTCAGAAACAGAGATTAGTACTAAAGACAATTCCTTATTTTGATCCAGATGTTTCAGATACTTGTAGCATTTCAGCAGATGAGCCTCCTAAATTTACTGTTAATGCTACTCAGTTCTGAGGTCTAGGAGAAAAAGAATTTTCTTCTTTCAAAGAGTTCTAGAATGGATAGTTTTGTCTGGATTATTTTTCCACTGTAAAGGTAAGTGACTGCTTTTTGTCTAAGCAATCACTTTTTCTTTCGTAGAAGGTGGCAGAGGCTGAGGATGACAGTGATAGTGATAGTGATGATGATGAAGATGATGTTCAAGTCACCATAGGGGATATTAAAACAGGAGCTCCACAGTATGGGTAAGTTCTTTGAAAACATTAACTGGGGGAACTTTCAAGGTTGCATTTAATTATTAATGCAGGCTCTTTAATACTTGTCAGGGTCAAATTGTATGCATGGTTAGTCTCAATTTAGGTTTTTTTCCAAGTCTTTAGCAATGTTTTTGATCATATAGTGACTTGAAAACAAGTAAAAAGAAATCAATTAAATGTCTTAAAGGAAGAGCTGTTGTACAAGTTAAATTTTTATTTCAGACTTTGAGAAATAATTGTATTAAGTTTGTAAGGTAGAGAGTTGGGTTTGTTGGGTTTTTATTTTGGAATGGCTATGTTACATAGCATTTTTAGGGTCGTTATTGTGACGGTGACATTTTTGCTGCAAATGGTAGAATGGTAAGGACAGAGAACATGAGAAACATTTGTCCTTGGTTTGTAGTAGATACAGTTCTAGTTAGACCTCTATAGTTTCAATCCCTGCTGATGTTCTCAAATAAGATTTTAATGTACTTCAGGACAGAGCTGCCAGTCTCTGGAGATGATTTCTCAAGATCATGGTTTAGCCATTTGTACCATACAAGAAATTGTTTGCTACTGTTACTACCCCAGATTCCTTCTTCTCTTGATAAAGGGCTTGCTTTTCACTGAGCACTTTTGAACACTGTTAATTTTACCCAAAATTATGAAATACTGTTTTTCATTACATGGAAGTTTTCTGAGGGAAGTGGTTTGCTTGTTTGTCTTGGCAATCTTAATGTTTTTATGCTTATTAAAACCAGACTTACTAGGGCATCATTTCTTAATAGAGTTATGACAGGTCTGCAGGTAGGTCTGACTCATATATATTATTGTGTTCTTAACTTTAGAATGCAGGTGATTACTCATTTTTGAAACATAGTATTTGTAAGCTTTCAGTATTACATTGGTTTGCACAGTTAGTTTAGGATATGAAATATAAAAAACAGCAATTCTTTAAGTTCTGTATTTGTCTGCTTTCAATAACTTGCAATATGCTTGTGGTGTGGGCAATGACCTCAGTTTTTGTGAGACTAAAGCAAAACTAGATTTGTATTCTCAGTGGATTTGCTGGTGCTCTTCCCATGCATACAGAGGACAATGAGCAGATGATCCTAAATCTAATTAGAGTAGAAAGTTTTATGTAGAAATGGTTGTTTTCTGAAAATGCTTTTTTTCAGGGCAAATTGTACAGAAGATTCATGGAAGGGCAGTAATCTAAAACAAACTCCATATTGCTGCTCATTTTAACTTCAGTATAACAAGTTCCTTTTATAGGATTAAATGTTTTTTCATATAGTAGTCAACTGCTGTTTAAAGAAAGCTTAAGATTTGTTTGACAAAGTCATGCAGAAATACAGCATGGCAGACCAGAAGGTTAAATGTTTTGTATCACTTCTGTACTGTTGTAGCACTTGAATGAAAACTAAAACTACATGGAAGTGATACTGTAAACTATGCACTGCCTTCTAATTGTATGCTTATCTCTTTATGTTTATGGGTTGATACCACCTGTGAGGATAAGGTACATTGCACACAAATGGTAGTGAAAGCCAGCTCTTAATGTTCCAAATGAACAATACTGTAATTCCTAATGTAGTTAAATCAGTTCAGTATCTAGATTTCTGAGTGCATTTCTATGAAGAAAGCTCTCAAGTATTTTAGAAAGTGAAATCTTACATACTTTTCTGTTGGTCAAAAGGATAGGTGATTGCTAGACGTACATTGTAACAGACAGCCTTTCAGTCATTGTAGATAAATGCTTGCATTTTCCTCTTCCGTACAGATTAAATGGATTAATTATGAAAAGGGAAAAGGATCTGTCTAAACTCTTTCTTTCTCTTTATTTTGTTTTTACTCTAATCCTCAGAGTGTCATCTGTATCCCTAAATGAACTGCATTTTTCCTTTCTCTCTTCTTCTGGTTCTGTCCATTCTTGTTTCTATCAAGGTCTTTATCCTTTCAACTCAGGACGAGTGACTGGGACTTGCTTCACAACTGTTTATTAGTTGGAGAAGTTGCTACTGAGCATAGAAAGGTACACTCTCTTCCTCCTAGGCTGATCTCTTTACTTTTTACAGTGTTACCAGCTTGGAAAGCTAGAGATTCAGGATGGCGATTGAGCCTGGGTCCAGTTTGTTTCTGGATCTAGCTAACTCTTGTTTTGTGTTTTCTTCTGTTTTAAGAGTTTTCTCTGTCTAATTCAGTTTTGTTAATTTCTTTAAGTTACGGAGCGGCACCTGTGAATCTCAATATTAAGACAGGAGGACGAGCTTATGGATCTTCTGGTAAGAAATTTTACACAGAAATATTAGTAAAAAAAAAAAAAAAGTTGGATTGTTTTGGATGAAGGAAATAATTTTCACTCCCAAAACTTCTTAATACATTTAAATCTGACTTTTTCTTTCTATTTTAAGTGTATTAGAGCTGTTAAAACTCTGTTTGGTAGAGACAGTAGGCTCTAACTTTCTAACTTTTCTTCGCAGGTGCAAAGGTTAAAGGGGTGGATCTAGATGCATCAGGGAGTATTAATGGTGTGCCACTTCTGGAAGTAGATTTAGATTCTTTCGAAGATAAACCTTGGAGAAAGCCAGGTAATGCTCTGGTTTACATTAGCTGATATGTAGGTATTCAGTAGGTTATTTTAATAATAATTCCTGTTTACTGCATGTAGGTGTTATCTACCCTAGAGCTAGAAGATACTGTACAATATAACTTGGAAAAAGCAGCTAAGTTACTTGTTGCCTTTGTGCTGTGCCACAGAGTGTGGGGGTGTGCCATGTTTCTTAGGTATGTCCCACACATATATCAGCAAAAAGAGAACTCTCCTTGGAAATCTATATTTCTGTGGAGATTGCTGCCATTGGTCTGTGCCATAGGACAGAAGAGAAAGCAGAAAGAAAAATAATTCTAGCTGGTTTGAGCATGAAGGATGGTGAAACATAGCTGCTTGTGCTTCTTTGTGCTCATGCATAGACATCCATAAGCTTTGAAGAAGAAGAAGCGGGTACCACATGGGCTTTCCATAAGTCTCCTGTGTGTATTGTCTGTTTGGCTCAAGTGATTTGGCCAGACTTATCTAATACCAGTGTTGGTTGTTTTTTTTTTTTTAGTGGCAGTACATCTTGCTGCTGTGTATAGTTTTTTCTAGTGTTTGTATATTGCTTTGGCAATGCAAATAGTGTCTGCAAAGTGGAAGAAAGAAGCATTTGATAATATTCTGCTGTTTAAACCGTAGCTATTTGAAACATATTTTGGGCATTGGAGGTATGTCTGGTCTCTCTTACAACAAAAATACTTTGTGGCATCATATGAAACTAGGAATCAAAACAAAATGAGGAGTCAAATACAGGACAAGCAAAATGGGGTGATTCTTCACTGAACATACTTACAGAATATCAACCCCGTATCTTTACAATAGGAGAAATATCAGATCTACAGGCTTGCTGTATCTATTCTTGATGCCTGAGACAGGATGCTAGGCAAGATATTCTTTCTGACTAAATTTTAATGTTTTTATAGACTTAGCCATGAATACAGTGTTTACTGATGTAAAGCTGTATTGTACATTTCAGTGGTATGTTTTAGATCAATACCTAGTCTGTTTTGATGTTATGAAGGTGTATGTATGTTCAGTGAAGGAAAAAAACAAAAAGGTGAACTTTGTAATGTCCTAAAAACCTATGGTCTTCTATTTAAAGGGGCTGATCTCTCTGATTATTTCAACTATGGGTTCAATGAAGATACCTGGAAAGCTTACTGTGAAAAACAAAAGAGAATACGAATGGGTCTTGAAATTTTACCAGTTACCTCAACCACAAATAAAATTACGGTAATTAGTACAATTTTTCTGGTATTCTACATGCTTTTTTCCCCTGTAAACCTGCTTGTGTGTCATAAGCTTGTTCTGCCCAGTTCAGTGCATTTGTTAGTTGGCACCTGACTCCCCAACCCGAGCCTAGAGTGTTCCTGTGTTGCTTCTCTGGCAATTGGTGTGGATAGTGTGACAGACTAGCTACAGCTAGATTGCATCTGTACCATTATTCAGACTGTGGCCCATCACTTAAGAGTTGTATGGTATCTTAATGGGCAATGTGTTATTTAACTTAGGCTGAAGACAATGCTATGGAAGTAAGACCAAGTGCAGAGATTCTCGATGGCAGATACCATCTTTTTAAGGTGAATTTTAGTAAACTTTTGTTGGTTGCTCTCATTTTTGTTGAGTATTTCTCCCCATGCCAACACAGACTGATGGAAGAACAACTGAAGTGGACATAGCCATTATTTCAAACTCTCATCTTACATCAGTGACTTTCTGCGCATGTCACAAAATGCTGATTAAAAAGTGTTTCTTTGTCACCCTTCTGCAAGCATGTGAGCTAGTGGCCTGGTCAACTAACAAATTTCCCAGTGAAACTAATTTTTATTTATGTGATGGTTTATTTTTAGTTGTAGTGTATTTGTTTCTGCAGATTAAAGAATTTGTGCAGATGCGCTGGGGAGGCTTTTGTAGATTATGGCATGTTTATTTTTCCTGTGGCCTTGTAGCTCTTACTGTGTTTTGTAACACTTATCCTTGGCAAATCTGAGATGTGCAAATCAGTCTTCCATAGTTTTCTGTTGTCCTTTTGGGATTAGGTGGCAATAAATCAAGTTACATACAATATTTTTCTATTTGGAAATGCTGATTTTCAGCGAGCAGAAAAATCTCGATGACAAGGATTTATCTTACAGGTTGAATTTTTTTTTTTCCAACTTTTCTCATTTACTCTTTTGTTTGATAATAAAGTTGAATTTAAAATACAAAGGTTATTTATTTTGCTTATTTTCAATATGCAGTCACTTTTGTTCTTGAACTATCATTAAACTGACTTGGAACTGTTCGTTGCTTTCTTCTGTATACGGCTGTGACAGAAGTGTCGATTGCAGACAGAAATTTTTGTTTCCCCTCATACACAACTTGAGGGTATCCAGTCATTTTGACTTTTATCTTAGCAAGAACAGATCAGAAGCTCTCCGGGGCTTTTTGCCTTCCTCAATTATCATTATAACAGCGTCATGGAAGAGTGGGCTATGGGAGTTACGATTTGCAGCTGACTACACTCTCAAACTTCCCTGAACTGTTGTTGTGAAGGAAGGATAAGTATTCCAAACCAAAACTTCCCGTGTTTCTTAGCTCCATATTGACTCTGGTGTTGTAGTGATCAAACAGTACAGATAATAATTGTGTTGTAAGAGTCTGAAGTAAGTTTGTCATGTGTTTTACAAGCAGTTTACATATAATTATTAAATGATTAACTTTTTTCCCACTCTTCTGAAATACTAAGTCTCATGTAATTTACATGGTATGTTTGGATTAATCTCTTCTAACTGACAAGGTTCTGTCACCTACATTTTCGAGTTATTCATTAATTAATAGAAATCTTACAGATTTTTCAGATAAATAGTTAAACCGAACCTATTCAGTATTTTGGGTTTTTCCTATTTCTGGACACTAAACTTTAATTTAATTTTTCACAAATCTCAACTGTTTATGTGTATTTTTGTGGGTTTGGGAAAAAGATGCCTGTGTTTAGAAGTGAGATTCTGTAGAAGCTTAGTAGTTCACTTGCCTACAAGAAGCTGTGAGATCACAGCCTATATAGCTATGTAGAGTGATGTAGCTGTGTGGTTGGTACAGTGGGAATGTCTTTAAAAACTGAATCAGTACAGATTTGTCTTTAATGTTAACCCATGTAGGGTTTTCTTTCATGTATAATGTGCTGCTGAAGTCAAACAATAGTTGAAGTACTTGCACCGAAGGTCTTGCATAGCTTTAATAGCGCGTCTCTGGAATTTTGCAGTGCTCTAGAAACAGCAGTATGTTTTTGAAGTATTCAGTGTGAACTAATGAAAAATCTTTTGAAGCTTGCATAACCCAGAGTACAAGGTGACTTCCTGATACGACTCGGAAATGAAGTGGTTACTAGATCTCATGATGCAGTAAGGCAGATGGAGAATCCACTCAGTTTCTTGTCTCATGGTTTATTTTTATTGTTGGGTAGCAGACTTGTTAGATACCTCTGCTGTTAAGATTATGAAGATTTAAATTTTTTTTTAATAAGTTTGCCTTTTTTAAAAATTAAGATGTTACTTTGTTCATACAGGAAATTCTACAAGAAAATCAATTTGGTCTGTACATGTCCAAATCAAATGCTTGGAAAATAAATATTAAAACTGTCTAATCTTCTGTAATAATTTGTTCTCTGGCACATTGCTGCTTATATATTAAACACAGTACTTAAGTAATATATCCTTATAAAATACAGAATTTTACTAGCTGTGCAAAGGTGACAGTTTCTACAAAATCTGATTAAAGTTGGACTTTCATTTTGTGTTGGCTATGTGCTATGTTGAGTGTTGGGGCTACTACACTTCTGATGTTAAACTAACGACGCAACATTATTTTGAAGGTACAGCAGGGCAGAACTGGAAATTTGGAGAAAGAGTTGGCAGTGCAGTCGACCAAAGCTGATTTCACATCTCCTCCTGCCTTATTCAAATCAGGAATTCCAACAAACAGGTCAGTTAGACAGTTGTAAATCAAGACTAAAAAGCTTTTAATACTGTTGCCTCTATGTATTTGAAGTTCATGTTTTTTGTAGGAAAAAAGGAAAATATGTTTGTGTAACAGGTAGAAATGAGGGGAAGAACTTTTAGCCTTCAGTCACCGTTACGCATGAATGCTGTGCTACCTTCTTGGCTGTTTGGGAAAGAGAAGGTAGAAGGGAAGAAAAACCATTAGGAACAGATAACAAGGCAGCTATAAAAATCCAAGTGTTGATGTATGACCCCATGGTTGTTGTGTAGAATTAGATTAGCCAATAAAAAGTTTCTAGCTAGTGTCTTTGTGGGTATTAGCTAACATACCTTTTCAGTTAAACAAGATGGAATCAGACAGCTATGACTTCAACAACAACGGGAAGGATTCCTGGAAACCAGTCTCTTTTCTGCAGGATAGCTTTAGCTTCTCCGTATTTGAGTATTTTACTCTACTTTCTTCCCCTCCTCTCCCAGCCCCAGGCTATAAGAAGTTCTGTCCTTTATATCTAAGCTATTGCTGTTTGATACTCGACTTAGGATGAATCCATGCTTCTGCTTTACTTTAGTTATCAAGTGATCCTGTTTACGAGTTTTGTTTCTGTGCTAATTAAAACCCATTGTATTATAAATGATGGTAAGAGAGGTAGAGCAGGCTTTCCACATCAACAGTAAAGATTAGCATCTATGACTTGTCTTTAGCACTGCACCCATAAGTACCTTGACTAATTCAGAGGCACTGAATTCAGTGTTCAATTATTCCACCCTTTAAGAGTCAGTTCAACACCCAAATATATTTCTCTTGGGTGGAAAAAAAGCCTTGCTTGGTACTCCTGCCTGTGTTTTTCTTTCACTCCTAGAATATTCCTCCTGGTAGCCTAAATTTTTCTCAATGCTGTCAGGTTATACTGCTCTGTTTTTAGGAGATTTTACTTCTTTTTTCCCCCCATTTTTCTTTATGTAAAAAGTAGTAAAAGTCTTTCAAACTTTGTACCAATCCTGTAGTTATTTTTTTTACTTTTCTTTTCTGAATTGCTTCTGATGTGTGATGTTCTTGTAACAGAGTTCTCACAATTGAATGTACTGTTCACAGGGTAAGAATTCCAAATCTGTGTCTAGTACAAGTTTTGTTACAGAATTTCAATTCTTTATGCATCTCATTGGTGGACAGAGAATCTCTCAAATACTTCAGAAAGTAGTTAATGACCACGATATTAAAATGTAGTTAAGCTTAAAGTTGTAGAAAAAAATGCGTTGCGTAAATTCTGTGATTCCATGAAATTTGCATTTGTGGTAAGAAAGCTTAATACAATGGTCATACGTGTGAATGATGTAAAATCTTTGTTGTGTGCTCTGGCTAGGATAATTCTATCTTACCATAGATGTCTTTATACGATACTTCTATGTGATACTTTTTTTTTTTTTTCTTTCTGCCTGTAGTTAGCAATCTCAACTTCAAGTGACCCATCTTTCTGATTTTTAAAGGTTTCAAGTTACTACCTTGGTTGTTAAATCAGAGCTTTCCTGAGAAACTTAAGGTGGGTCTGTTTTCTCCAGGAACTAAATTTACCTTGGCAAAGGTTGGGAAATCCATATTCTTGAAAAATGAGAAGCCAGTAAGTGAAGTTGATCTGTTGTGTAGATAAAGAGGAAACAAAATGGTGCATTTCCAGTTGTATCACTTGTGCATTCCAGTGGTTAGAACAGGTTGTTTTATATAGATTTAATGTGAATACTGGAATTGTAAGTTGTTACGATAGCAAAACTGACTTCTTTCCATATTCTCAAAGAACAGAAAAGAGACACAAGAAAAGAAAGACCTAGGCACTTTATCTCACCAGAATCAGCACCTCTTCTCAGTCACAGACAAGCACTGCCTCCAGAAAAGCCAGTTCAGGCATCAGAAAGTGTCAGGAACAATAGGAGGGACAAATCACCTGAATTAAGCAGGGAGGGGCAGGGAAGAATCAGGGCATGATCCTAATTTAACATTTTAATTCCCCATTTACTACCCAGGGCTGCAACATTGCTTCGTGGATAATTTTACATGTATATATTGCAGCACATATTTCTCTTTAATGGGAAGTCTGAGGACAGATAATAATTTTTGCTTTTTTTCATATGTTTATTCACAAACATTGAAATAACTTTGTGCCTACTGTTTTTACCTTTTTAATTTGAGTACAGTAGGTGTTTGCGTATGATTGCAGTTGAAATTCTAAAAAAAAAAAAAAGTCTGAGGTCTAGCAAGAATATTACTTATTACCAATATGGAGGTTATAGTTTACAAAACAGAAAAAGAATTAATGCTCACCAGCAAATAAAAGTTACTACTTCACTAGAACTGCATCCTCAGTGTTTAATTCAAAGAAAAATTTAGTTCTTGTTCGTATGTGTCGTGTGAGAAATTTTGCTTGAGTTTGTAAACAATGACTTGTAATCATAGTTGAGCTATCAGTTGTTTAGAAATAACACCTAAACGTCGTGTCTAGATTCTGTGATATTTAGGGCTGTTGAATAACATAAAGTGTTCTGTGACCCTGGAGGAGGAGTTAAAATATAACGGAAAGGATTTAGTAAATGCACATTGTGTACAAATAATATGCTATAAAATAGAATGTTTGTTAGTAGTTTGTAGTACTAATTTAGTGGTTTAGTCTAGCGGTAGTTAATTAAAGGTTTGTTGTGTGCATGGTCACAATTAAGGTAAAAACCTGAAGGAATCTCTTTTCAGTATAGTGCTTTTTGGAACATGAAGAGGATTTGACATATTTCAAACCTGTCCTAACCAGAGAAGTCATAGAGATATCTTACTGGTTTTTGGACCAGTGCTTTTCCTTATGTCATTTTTCAAGGACTGTGAGATAGTATTTCTTTAGTAGCAGAAAAAGAAGCAGAAGTTTCATTTACAAGCTGGATGCAAAAACTGGTATTTTCTCATTCCAGTAGTATCCAAAATAGCTCTCCATAACAAAATGTTGTTCTGTCAGAATCTCTTAGGTTTTTTAACCTCCATTTATGCTTTTTGGGTTGTTAGTAAAGAGTACGTTACATTTAAATTAATTTTGCTTTCAGAGAAATTAGCCTGTCAATGTGATGGGTTATTTATCAGCTTTCTCTGTGCTTGGGCCTTTCTGTAAATAGAATTTTTATAGAAAATGGGAAGGCATCTGTCATTACTATGAAAAAATATAGGTTTCTCTTGTTTTTCATTAACTACCCTTGCGAGACTAAATTATGAAAACTCAGCTATTCTTTTGAAAAAAATGTCTACTTTATATATCAATGACTTCTGGGTTAAATGTGTGTGCTTCTTAATTATATCAATCAGTGGTAAGTGAGCTCAGCAAAACTGAGGCTGTCCTTGAGAGGAGGAAAATAAAGCATAAAACACGTAAGACAAAAGAACACCAGAACACATTAAATACAGTTTTAAAAGTATACTATAATTGTATAATTCTTAGACTAGACTACAAGTCTAGTGAATAAATGTGGCATCCAGTAGTTAGACTGTTCCTGAATGCTGAAAAGGAGGGGGGAGGTGTGTCCAGAAAGCAGTTCATTATTTATATTACTTGTGGTGCAGATAAGTGGTTTCTGAAGCTATAAATTTGGAAAATAATTGGGTTGGGTTGGTTTTCTTTCTTTCCTGTTTCTCTTTGCTCTGTAGAACCTATATAAACTTAGCTTGCCAAATGAGATTGAGATATCTTTCTGAATTAAATCTCCATGGAGGGTGGTATTCACAGTGCAAATAGCTCGTAAATAACCATTCTCTAATTAGAGTGAAATCACTCACTGAGTTGTTGGAATGTTCCTTTCAAGCTACACTTTGTATGAACTCTGTTGTGGGTTCATGTGCATCCCACACACGTGGATTGTCTTTTTATGTTTGGGTGTATCCATTGGGAAGGCATCTGTATCCCAGGTGCCCTGTTCGTGTAAGGGACAAATCAAGCCCTTTCTTTTCTTCGCATACAGCACTGAGACACAAATCTGGTAATGTCTGCTTAACATCTTATCACTAAGCTAGATAATGGCTGGGGAGTCTTTGAAATTTCTCCATGTGCCAGCTTGCTATGACTTAATCAAGATCCGAGGCTTCAGATTTGCCCCTTTCACAAAACTGCTGAACTGTTAAATTCTGGACGCTTCAGATGCCTGTCTTGCCTTTGTGAAGATTACATTTTTGACAGTGGTGTCATCTGCTGCTCCACTTGCAACTGAACATATGCTTTCTCTTGTTCGATTTCAAGCTCTTTTAGGGGAGTACTTAATGAAATCATTGTTGCAGTCTTGGAAATAGAGAGTTTGTCAAGTTCAAGGTGTAATGGCAAATTCCTGAACTCATCCATCATTACAAAAATTAAATCTCTTGGCAGCTGTTGGGAAGTACAATGGACATACCACTATAAAACATTATTAAAAAAATAATTATAAAGCACCAGCTCAGTGAGAATGAGTGAGTATAGGTGTACTTTTGAGACTCTAGAAATATTAAATGAAAGCCCTGTTCATTTCAGTAAAGTTGTTATCTAGGAACCAACTGGTAGTCTAGATTGGCTTCCTTTGATAATGCACTGTTGTATTTGGGCTGCTTCCCAAGCCAAAATTGGTATTACTATAGCATGGTTGATGCACATCCTGCTTTAATGCCCAGTACTCTTGCATTGGTGTCCATTGCCTATGTTTTCATTGCTGATGCCAAGAATTGCTGGCAGAGTGCAAACAATACAAGAGAGGAAGAGTCTTAATTTGAAGTACATCACTGCCAAGTGGAAGCCCTGTAAAACAGTGGAGTGAGCCAAGAGGACACCTGAGGAGGGACTTCTTGCTGTAGAAGAGTCATCTATCACACACAGGGACTAAGGCTAGGTAAAATGAGTTTTCTAGGGTATGGTTTTAGATTTAAGAGAAGATAACAGCAATGGAGGAGAACTGGTGTCTTAGAACTCTGAGACCAAATGAACTGTCAGAATCAAGACTGAGACAAAGTTTTGTTGTTTTACAAAAAGTCGCTTGTCTCTTTTTTTTTTTTTTTTTTTAGTGAAACAGTTGGTCTAGCAGGTGTTATTTAATACCTATGTTTCCAATTTATTTACTGAAAGCAAAATAATAATAGTTCAAAGTGCAGCAGTGGTAGAATACCATGCAAGACCACTGGGGAGGATCGGAGAGCAGGTGTTGATTATTTCAGGATTTAGACTGAAACAGTCTGACTTTTAGGATGGGATGTTAGAAGATCAGAGAATTTCTTAAACTTGTGTTATCCTTGGAGAGGCTGCTGTATAGTATATGCTGTTTTAGTTTGAAGATATGTTCTCAGACTCTTGTTCCATTGGACTTTTTTTTTTCCCTCCAAACTGTTGTTCTTAATGAGCTTGCTTTAAAATCCAGGAGGAAGCTCTAAACCCAGATATTGAAAAGCTCAGAGGACAGGCATTTGGATCATCTTCAGTATGCAGTCTGCCAAGAAACTTTAGATTATCTCTGGGAGATCTAATTGATCCTTCATGCTGTAGTGTCTGCTATGTCTTTTTCAGCTGCATTGGAATCTAGGTAATTGGGGTCGGAGCTATCAGTCAGGCAGAACCTGGAGCCTGTAATCTCAACTTCCAGCTGTTCTCCCTGCTATTTGTATTAATGTGCTTAGTAGTCCACTAGATAAAAAAAAAAATGCAAGAACTTGTCGTCTAAAACTGGAAGTATATTTTTTCTTTCTATGGATTTATTTTCTGAAATTTTCTGAAAGTTTTTTTTCACAGTCATTCTACTTTATGTATCATGCTATTAGTAAATATTGCTAGTTTTCTCTACTATTGTTTCCCTTATAGGTGTGATACAGGTGTACCTTTGTTTCTCTTATCTATTAGCAATGTAATTTTGTACCTTGTTTTCTAATGGAGTTGACCTAAATGAATCCTGCTTTTTAACCTCTTTTAGAAATTAACTGTGGACTGCAAAACAGGTGGGTTTTGTTCTATCTGTGTAAGAATAATAGTTATAAATCCTCTATAAAGCTTTCTGGGTTTCATTTGCTTTGGGGCTGCAAATAGGAAAGTTTGCTATGCTTTAGATTCTTCCTCTCTTCAAGATAGTGGTTCCCCATTGTCACAGACACCAGTTTTAAGATCCTTGTCCTATTACTTTCTGTTCTGGCACCTGGAGTCCCTCTTTACTGTCAGTATATTCCCATGCGGTTGATTCATTGAATATTTTGAGAGATTGATTATGCTTTAAATTTTAGTATTTGTATACAATGGAATGCCGTCATGTCTTTACCCTCAGTGTAGCATTTTTAATGTGCTTTGAAAAGTTAAAAATAAAAAGCTGCACTTGACAGCTGTATGACCACAATATCAGATGTTTTGGGAGGCTTAAAGGTACCTCTCTTAACAGACTGTGGATATTGTACCTGGGAGTTAGGAATTTTGTAGGAACAACTTACGTCTAACAGGCATAAGCTTAATAGATTGGCAGGTTTGGAAACTGAAGTGAGATGCGTTTGCATTTGAAATTCATACATTGGCTCCAATGTGGACTGGAATTAACTTGTTCATCGTGAACTGAAATCACTGAAAATTTAAATCCTAGATTGCATTTTTCTAAATAAGAGGTACTTCTTCAAATCAAGAATTAATAATTAGTAATCATACCAATTGAGAAAGAAATCTTGGAATTATTGTTACTGCTTCCCAAAATGTTAGTTCAATTTCCAGTGTTAGCCAAAACAGGAAAATGGAATGGTTGTCATCGTTAGCAGTGGGGAACAAACTGTGAAGAGTCATTATGGTAGAACATAAAGCCAGCTGAATCCTATCTGTGGTTCTGTTTATGTCAGACAAGAAAAGATACAGTAGAGGTAGCAAGGGTCCACAAAAAGACTAAATAAATAATGAAAGTTATAAAATCACTTTTATATGAGGAGATGTGGACTAGTTCAGTTTGAGAAAGAGACAGCTGAGAAGAGATACAACAGATGTACCATGAATACTACACTGCCAGGGAACAGGGAAATTTTTTTTTTTGGTAACACTAGGTCTGTACGGCATCACATAATTGACAATTGTCAGGTAAAAAAATAGCTGAAACGGATCTTATCACTGGAGATAAAAAGTTAAAGTGTGTGCAAAAGAGATTGTGTAAATGCAAGTTAATCAAGGGCTGCTATTAAACACAGTTGCATGGGAAGTCCTTAGATTTTTGATTGGCAGAAACTTAGAGGAAAAGAATGTGTATATGCATGTCACTTTTCTTGTCATATTTCTCTAAAAATCTATTACTAAGTACTTCTAAGGTAGGTATTCTTAATTTATATTATGCTTTGTTGTTGCCTGATTGGGTTGTAAGGCAGACTGAGGTGGGTCTTGTGCTGCTCTGTTGCTGGTTTCTTTAAAGAAACGGAACACAGTGCTTAGCTATGCAAATGTTTTAGGGGTGGAAGGTTTTTGGAGAGGACATTTTGAGGACATAGAGAGGAAGTTTTTGAGGGACATTTTGCATTTGGAAAACTGAGAAACAGAAGTATGAATGGCTGGTAACATTCCTTTGTTTCATGCAAGGTTTAATGAGTCAGTGTCTATTAGTTTCATATACTTTCTGTTTGTGTGTTCCAAGGTAAGAGAGATGAGGGCTGATTTTATTCAATATATGCTGCAATATTGATAGCATGCAAAGGTAGGATTGGCTTATGTTTATTTCTGCTTCCTAACTTACCTTTGATCTTCCATGGAATCCTCCAGTATGGTTTCTTGCAGTTTAGAAGGTATTTCTAATGGTTAGTTTATAACTGTTTTACTTTAGATTTTTGTAGAAATTCTGTTTATGTTGGGGGGGGGGAGGTTCTTACTGAGGTTTTTTGTGATCTCACTTTTTTTTGTTGTTTTGTTTATTTGTTTTCTTTTATCAGTTACAAAAGTGTAGATTTATTATCTTGTAGGGGATGGAAGGAGAATGCGGAGAGGCAGCCTTTGTCCTACAGGAGTTTTTATTGCTGCTTTGTTTAGTTTTATACACTTGCATAGTTCAGCAAATTTATCATTTAGTGTTCTTCAGAAACAGTCTTTTATGTTTTCTACAGGAGAAGTCCATAAGACTTTCTTCTCTCTCTTCCCCCCCCCACCCCCACCCCCCCTTTCCTTTTCTAACTCTGCCTGTTGATTCTGGTTTGTCCTGTGTTGCAGGCGATTATCAGGCACAATAGATGTGATTGGACAGACCATCACTATCAGCAGGGTGGAAGGACGACGGCGAGCTAATGAAAACAGCAACATACAGGTTTTATACTACAGATTTGCACACTATCTTTGACTAAAAGACATTTTTGCTTTCCTCATAGCTTCTGATTAAAACATTGCAGTGTGTATGAATGAGTAACACGGAAGTAGCTTTACGTTCAGGAAGAAAGTTGTGGCAGTTAATTGAACTATACTAAGATGAAATATTTGATATATTTCAAAAGATAAATGTTTTGGTATACTTCTGAAAGGAAATGAGCAATGTTGCAGACTTAGAAACCAGGAGGCAGCATTGGCTCTGCTAGATCTGCATGGGATAGCATGTTGCTTACTAAGTGACAAATAAATACTTAAACTTGACTGTCCATTTCTCCCCTACTCCTGCCAGACTCTACAGCCGAAAGTGAAAGCCCCTTCATATGCAGTTTGAGAAATTCAGTCTTTTAAAAATAAGTTGTGAAGCAATAAATAGTTGATAGTACTTTTTTTTAATTATATTGTATTATTTTACTATAAATTAGTCTTTATGGGCTTGGATTATCTTAAGAAAACGAATTAAATGCATTAAGTTTTAATACACTTTTTCTCTCCTGACTTACTTGTGGAGAAGAGTCAAGGTTGCTCAGTGCCCTAGCTGCATTTCTGTGCCAGTTTAGGTTAAGGTTAAACAATGAAAATAGTAATGGATTGTAGCGCTTATATTGGAAACACTGCCATGTGTTTTTTCAGCTGATCTCACAGTGTTTAAGTAATTTAAAGTCTTGGGTTTTTTCATGCTTTTTATATTGATTTTTAAAGTATTTTCCTTTATATATAAATTTAAGATTGTGTTTTGGGCCATATTAAGGTGGGTTATATTCCCTTTCAGATCTTACATTTTTTGTTCCCTGTTGGCTGCTCTTAGACCCTCAGAGGTACTTGGCAAGTATGGGACACTGAATGTAGGGATGCAGATAGAACTTAACCCATCTGAATATGGCTCTTTAGGTGCATAAATAATACTTTCCTGTTGTAGTAACTAAAAAGAGAGGAAACCTATCTTCTACCCTTTTGACATAGCAATTGTAACTATAGTTTGATATTTTACAGGTTCTTTCAGAACGATCTAATCCTGAAGTAGACAATTTTACCAAGCCACCTCCATTTTTCCCTCCAGGAGCTCCACCTACCCACCTTCCACCACCTCCTTTCCTCCCACCCCCTCCAACTGTCAGTACTGCTCCACCTCTTATTCCCCCACCAGGTAAATATCCTGCACTACATCGGGAATGTGGAATGTGGAAAATGAGAGATGCATTATTATAAAATGCTTGATGATGATGATGAAATCCAAACAGTACATTCCATGCACATTTGCCTATATATGTAGAATTTCAGAATTTTTTGTTCTACTCTTTTCTTAAATATATCTGCAAGGCAGAAACAGAAACTTTTGTCTTTAGTTTTTCAGGAAGCATAATCCCAAGCAGTAACTAATTACCTAAAGATGAAATGTTGGATCTTGTGTCCTTGAAAATGTTAGAAGTGAGAAGCTGTTTTCTGTAATTCAACTACTGTTAATGCTATTGAGAGGTACATGTTAACAAATCATTCTACAAACTTTTGAACTAGAAGTGTGGCATACCATGAATTTGTGTCAGAAGTTGGATTCTCTGATGTCTAAGGTCAAAGCAGCAACAGAATCTTTAGTTCCCCTTTCCCCTCACAGTATGTATGAATTCCCAAAAGTCTGGTAAGAATTGCAGTTGTGCCGTATCCTTTTTTTCAGCTAGAAGTCTTCTTAGCACCTGATGTTTTTTTTCTAGTGTCCCATGTCTGTGAATCTTAGAGGAATCAAAGCTCTTTGAGAATTCTTCTCCTTCTTAAATCCAGTTTGAAATTTACTGATATTTGCTGGATATTTACTGAAACTGGATATTTATGGAAAGGTGCTGGGGGAAGTGTCATGGGCATTTTCACAAATAGTGCAGTTGCCGGAGGTTGTCATTTTAAGGAATTAGTTCCTTGCTAAGTCCTTTTGAACTTAAGAGTGGTCAGTGAGAAATGAAAATATTTGGAGAAACTTCAGGGAGTATTTGAGTAGAAAAGTGAAGGATTTCTTTATAGAAGAGACTGATTTAACGTGGAGCCCCTTTCCTTATTTTCTCCATTTGTTCCTTGCATTCTTTTGCTTGAAATCATGCTGAGCAGTTTCTTTGCTATTCTGTTGGCATAGGGAATCTCTTAAAAGTTTCTGTTCATAGTCTTATGTATAAGCGGGGAAGTAACATTGTTATTTCTGTGCAACAACTTTGTGTTGGGCTTTATAGGGTTTAAGTCCTTGTAGAAGAGGTTGCTTTCTTCAGTTGCTGCTGCTGATTTTAAAACTATTAACTCCTGCTGCCTGGCAAGTTCTGGCTTTTATCAGTGATTGTCATACATAAAATGGTGCAACCTAGAAAACAGAAAAGAATTAAAGATTAAATAATTCTGTGCTCTTTTCCAAGTTTTTGTGCATTAATATAAAAAATAGAGTATCTGAAGAGAGAATATGCTAGTCTTCTGCATATTGCCCCTAGGCAATTTTTTGATGTTCCCTTACTGCAGGGAGGACAGAAAGGAGAGGAACATGATGCTAATGCTAGCTGCGGTGTTAAGCTGCATTAAAACCTTTCTGATAAAATAAGTAATGCATTGCAAGTTTTTAGAAAGTAATTATTTTAATTATAATTGTGGTACAGAAAAGGTGATCTAAGTTCTGTATTGTTAAAAGCAGGAGAGGAACCCACCCAGACACCCCAAACGCACTTGGTGCAGGTATGTCATATAGGTGTACTGGACTGTTCTTATGAAACCCCTCACCTGTTGAGCTTTTAAAGGTGAAAGAAATCCACATGTGTTACAGATAGCAAGCAGGTTTGTCTTCAGCTTACAGACAGGTTTATGACATACACTTGTTCAGAAGGTCTCCTTCAACATCCTTCTGTGCTTCAAGTAGATTCAAAAATAACGATTAAGAGCTGTGGATTTGGTTTCTTCAGGCCTGTGTTTTAATTGTGCTGTTGCCAGCTCTTTATCTTCAAAGCTGTTCCTAAAATAGAATCTTGAATCCCTCCTAGGTTCAGTGGAGGAGGAGGAAAAAAACTGCTCTTACCCAATATTAAACCAGGACTACTTGCCAGAAAATTTAAGTATTCCAAATATAAAACATCCTCCAAAAGCCCCTTTGAAAAAGGATCTTGCTTTGAAGTTAGATCTCTTGTCCTGAATTCATTCACTCTTGCGATTCAAATCTTTTTTGAGGAACAAGTCCTGGAATGATTCAAAGACCCAAATGCAGAAAATTCTCCAATACTCCTAGGAGATCACTGGCTGTGGCAAAAAATGTGTTGTTTTTTGTTTGCTTGGTTTATTGCTGTGTTGAAGTAATTTAAATCTAAAGAACATGGATGCTTCTGTTAACAGACTTTAAAAGTTGTTTTATGTGTTTTGGTTTAAGAGTGTATTTAAAATGTGACATGTATTTGTGATATTTAAAAAAAAATTACTCTGAAGTACTGAAGTTCTGTTGCATAACTTTGGGAAGTTTGACTGCCTAGACTTACGCCAGGGCTTTGCAAATAACTACATCTGCTCAGCCCCGGCAATCTAAGTGTGTACTTTTCTCTCTCCTTTATCACAAGATAAATTTGACTCAGCTTAGCCTGCAGCAAAAGAAGTTTTTACACCAATACAAGTTATATTACATTGCTGTGGGCTATTGCACAGTTCAGCTAATTTGTAGTATGTTGTTAAGCTGTGGCAGTATTATGTTCGATTCCCTACTCTGAAAAGTGGAGCACATGGCATTGCTTTCCTGTAGTAAAACTTAGTTGGTTTTCTGTAAATATTTACCAGCCTTCAGCTAGTAGGATGGCATACAATGTCCTGAAAGCAATTTTGAGCACATTAGGTAAAATGCTGCACTAAAGCCATTTGGATTGCTTTTGATACACGAGTCTGAATATTTAGGTTTAGGCCAGGTATACCTTTGTGGCAGTACAAGTGTTGTAGGGACATGATGTGATCTATGCTAAGTCACCTTCTTGCCCTGGTACTCAAGTTTATTCCCTCCATTGCAAGAAATTACTCAATATTTCAGAGTCTTTTTTTCTTTCTCACAAGTAAATGGCTGATGACACTTCAAGTATATTTTCATATGCTGCATTAGTAGAAGGCGAAGGAGTGAAGAGTTAAGAGATTTTTAATTTTCCTTATGATTTTTTTTTTGTTTCTTGTTTTCTGTCACATTCATGTATTAGTGAAAAAGGTGAGGGGAAAAACACTTTGTGTAGATCTTTTTAGTGATACTTGCCAACTTGGAATGTAGAAGAATGTTTCTTCCATTATGATACCATCAAGTAAATTGGCTGCTGTCTTAAAATTATATTAATCATGTCTTTTTAAATGTTCTTAAGGGTTTTTGAGGAAAAAATGCCTATGCGTGTGGTTTGTTTGTTTTTTTTTTTAGCATAATACCCTGCATCAATCAATTCATTAATATAATTTGGATGTTTCGTCTCTGGATATTAGTTTTATTCACTCTGTCTTCATTTTGTTTGAATGGCTCTCAAGTGAAATTTTTCATTTGGCTTTTAAGCTTGTGATGATATTTTTATTTGTGTTTCTGCACAAGGAAAAATTCTGAGGAATATATTGTTTATTCAGAATTTATTCCTTTTTGTAAAGATTATTATCTGATGGCTTTTCTGGCAATTCTGTGCATAGTGCTGAGAGCCATGTTCGGTGCTAACAATATAATGGGTTTAGTGCAGCAATTGAAATTTTTTAAGCATAAGATAGAGCTAATAAATAAATCAGCTTGAGAGAACTTTTGATGTTTTTATAGCTTACATTCTTAATACTGCTGTTAAGAGGTATTTTATATATTTTTTTTTCCTAAGTTGTAGTCTTAAGAAGAATCTATTAAGATGGATGGTTAACCAAAAAAAATTAATAGAAAATACTTCAGCTGTGCAGCAGTTTGACTTCCCAGTCTTCCTTTTCTTTCAGAAATTTTCATTAGGAGTGTTTCGTCTTTCAAATGTTGCACTATAAAACTTTTTATGGTGTGATTTCCAGTGTTCTTAACAACAATAGCGCACAATGGAAAGCTTGTGTGCTGATAAAGAAAAAATGGCTAATGCAGTTCAGAAATTTGGGGTTCACTGTCTCATGATTTACATTTTGGGCAAGAGATTAGATTTTAAAACTTCAGGATTGGACAGAAACCTCAACTTTTTTTCAAAATTTCTTTAATCCTATAGGATTAATGCTGGTAAGAATTTATGTCAGTGAAATCACCAGCAATTAGTGAACATTGATATTGATTACTCTTCCTCAGCTTGCATATTCCTTCATTCTATCCTTCTGCCAAGGCAATTTGGGAGCAGTTGGCATTTCTAGACATTATAATATGTAGATGTAGTTAAATGTTGCTGCCATAGAATAGTCTTAGTTCTAATGTTGATTTAATGATTTAGACATAAAATTAATCATGCAGTGGCCAATACATCTAGGATATTCTTTGAATGATGAAGTCTAGAACTTGAATGAAATGAGTCTTAATTTAAGTGAGTCTGGCTGCTCTTCTGTCTGGATGTTTACGCACTTATGGCAAAACTGATAAAAGCGCTTGGCAAAGTTTTCCTTTCTCTCCCCCCACCAAAGTCTTGCAATGAGTTGTCAAGTTGAAAGTACTTACTTTTTAAGGGAAACAGTTGCTCATAACTGAAATAGCTTTATGCCTGGTGAAGTAGTCTGTTTTCTGACAATATTGTTTTAGCCCAGCTTGTAATTTTCATGTAACAGTGTTTTGTGTATTCAGTTGAGGTAGAGCTAGTTCTTTGCAAGATATGAGAAGATAATGTCCTTTAAAGTGTACAAATTATTTTTACCTTGTAGTCATTCCTTTGATAGGTTTGTATGTTGAGGCAGTGTATTTTGTTAGGTCAGCTAATTTAGTTGGAAACAAATTCTCAGCTTTTATTTAGATTCATAATGGCTAAGCTAGGTCTGAAAACCAGAAAAGTTAGAACCGTTTTTGAATGTGTTGGTACTAAAGGATGCTCCTTTGTCAGATATTTACAAGAAAATAGAGTACCAAACAATTTCTTTCCCTCCAAGTAGCAACTGAATGATTAATTGCAGTGTGGCATAGCATTGACTGAAAAGTCTGTAATGCTTACTGTTGCTAGAATATTTTGTCCTTGTGGACCTACTGTTTCCTGTACTAAGCTATTAAAAGGCCAATTTTATTTCCTTTCTTCCAGTCATGGAATATAAAATCAAACACATTCTATGGGATGTTGCTTACCTTCTGGATACTAAACATTTTAGGGTTATGGATTTGAGACCCAGAGTAATTCTTCATTATTTTTGTCTCTAAATCCTGAAGAATAGGAATTTAAATAAAAAGCCAGATTTCACAAGGCTTGCATAAAATCTTAACAATTGTTTTTAATGTGAGATCTTGATCTGAGGATACAGAAAATAAGTTATAATTTTTCTTGATCATGTGTGTGGTGATAGCTCAACCTGATTTTAGATCTACAGAAAATAAACATAAACTATTACTATAACTGACACATAATTTGTTATCTTTTTAGGTATACCAATAACAGTGCCACCACCAGGTAAACTTGCTTAGAATTTTTCTCCACATTTGGTTAAGAAGTGAAAACTTAACTGATGTGCAACTTATCAACTTCTTTTTAGTTATATAGATAAAAGCTCATAAATACAAAACTGTATGTATAGCTGTAGGTTAAGTTACTTTGATGTCAGGCAGAAAAGAAAATGTATGGAAATGCTGTTGGCCAGTTTCTTAGATGTGTGCTTCCTTCTTTTGTTTCCTCCCCCCCGCCCCCCGCTATGCAGAAAATAGTTGTGGTTGTTGTTTATTAAGTATTGCTAGATACTCAGGAATTTTCCTATGCTTCTAAATTACTGTATTTTTAAGGATGATAGGTATTTGATTTGAAGCACTGATAAAATATGTTTAATACTCTGCCTTTGTTAAGCTGGAAAGTAGTTCTCAGTCTTACAAAATAAAACCCATTTGCACAGTGAGAAACAATTTTTGTGTTGTACTCTCTGGAATTTGTTTGCCATTGTATGCTTAGCCTAGTTCTTTTATGTGTTTATGTTTTGGGTTTTTGCTTTTCCTCCTCCTCACCTAGTTTATTATTACAGGCTTCCCACCACCACCTGGCGGTCCTCCACCTTCCCTCATACCCACAATAGAAAGGTGACTATCTGTTTGAAATCTTACAAAGCAATATATCATTTTCTGTAACTGAAATAAATTAGTAAGGACTCTTACACTACCCAGTGTTTCATGGATTTTATCTGGGAGTGAGGAGACAGTTTCAGATTTTTACAGTATTTTTACAGAAATCTTACTAGTCTTACCTGTCTGACACTTAATATTCTTTTGAGTAGGTTACTTGACCACTTATTAGTTTAGTTGAGTTATGACACTATGTCAATACCAAGACTTAAGAACAAAGTCAAGGTAATGATTGTTAAAGTATTGTTTAGTAGTCTGAAGGCTTATTTAAGTATACTTGTCAGCAACCGTATCCTTTTCTATAAACATGAACAAACAATTTGGCCACAGATTCAAGCCCTCATAAGCTATAGGAAATGCCAGAGTTCCATGGAATCTGAATTTGTATTTCTTCTGTGTTTGTTTTAAGTGTTCAGCTTTAACAGGCCTAACGGTATTTTTTCAGTACCTTTTTTTTATATACGTGTATGTGTATATGCATACTTTTTTTAATATATATATATGTAAAAGGAAGAAAAAAAAGTCGGCCAGCACAGTCCTTGAAAAGTATTCATATTTTGCTAGAGGCCAAAGTGAGGTCATATACAAAGCTCACTTAAGAAGATGGTGTGAACCTCTTGCCAGTCCTTTGGGTTTCACTGAAGGAAGGTGCGCACATCTGGTCTTTTGAAACTGAAAACTCTATTAACATATATGCTAAGGATGATGATGGTAAATCTGTGAGAAAATCCTCACCTGATTTAATTCAGGAAAAAAACCTAACTGGATGCATTTGATGTGCATGACAGTAAATTTATTACTTCATACTGACAGTTGCTGTGAGTGACTGCTGCTTCTGACTGTTAAGCAGTGGTCATTGCATTTACTTGTAGTGAATATTTATATTGTTTCTGAAATATGATGTGAAAAAATCAAGCTTATTGTAGATTCTAGGAATGTAATCTCATACTTTTAAATGTTAAGATGTTGCATTGGCCTTTCATTATCATTGTTTATTTTTTGGTTTTAAACTAAGGTAACCCAAAACTTACTTCTTAATGTTAAAGTGCCTTCAAGAACAGAAATAACAGTTAAGTTAAATACCGCACAGATGATTCATGCAAGTTATGTAGGAAGTGCTAAAAGTCACAAAAGAATTATATATGTATGAATTATGTCCTGTGCATATATCATCCTTTTTAACCTTTCTGGTTTTTACCTACTTGAGTTGGCTACTACTGAAAGAAGTCAGCTTAAAAAATGTGTAGCTAATTTAATAGTTTATTCATAGAACTACACATTTGAAGTCCACCTGTTCTTAGATATGCTCACATACCTACTTTTTAACAGAAAGAATGAGAATGGTTTCATTCACGAATTATGCACTTTCAAGCAATTGGAAGTTAAGTTCAGTATCTGTGCAGAAACAATGATACAAGAAACATTTGAAATAGAAAATTCATTGAAAATACAAAAGAACAGCTTTGATGATCTGGATATTTTTTGGTTTAAACTTTGAGAAGAGAGAATGCTATTTTCACCTCCTGTAGTAAAACATGAAATATACATATTTGTGTTGATAGACAGCTTCCTTAATTAGTAATGCTCAAAATGGAGGACTTAAATCCATTTATAACAAACACTTTGTTTTAGTCTGTATGGTGGTAACAATTCAGAGGAATAATATTAAAGGTATATATTTATTGATGGAGGTAGCTTCAATGGTAAAACTGGATTTTTACACGTATTTTCTTTTCAACAGTGGACATTCTTCTGGCTATGATGGTCGTTCCGTTCGTGCATTTTCATATGGCAGTGGTGAGTAAGCTTGCTGGCTTTGAAAATTTTGACTAGTGCTATATCAAATTGTTTGATATACTTATCAGGATTTTAGCAAAGAGACTAAACAGGTCCTTTCAGTAATTCATTATGAAAGCTCTTTAACAACTGTTGGTAAATACTGTTGTTTTGCTTGCTTATTTGTATGCTGGAAGTCTTTCCATGCTGCTTTTGCAGAACTGTGATTTTTGAAAAATAATACACCATAATATGGACCACAAGTCAGGGAGAATTTTCCAAGAACTGATAGGAGTTAGAAGCCGGAGAATAAGTACTGTCAAGATATCAGCAAGACTAATCATTGAGAAATCCTGGGTGATGTACCTCTCCTTTGAAAAACTGTTTGTCTAAGATACTATAATCTCCAACTATCCTGTTGCAAAGTCAGTCTTTCATTTTTTGGTTAGTGTTACAGAAAAAAATCTGAAGCTGAGAAACATCACTTTCTGGTTTCGTAGTAAGAGCGAACCAAAATACAAGTGTCATTATGTACAGTCAAGTAGACATCCCCAGAACCTACAGTGAGTTTAGAACTGTTACCTTGCACAGCTCTGCTTCTTGAGCAAAAAGAGTGATAGCCATACTAAGATATCAGCTGCTTCCCGACCTAGCCCAAGTTGGGAAGATAAAATAAACATTAAATCACAGAACGGTTTGGGTTGGAAAGGACCATCGAAGATCATCTAGACCACACACACACACACACCCCCCACCATAGGTAGGGACATCTTTCACTAGATGAGGTTGCTCAAATTCCTGTCCAACCTGACCGTGAAGACTTCCAATGGTGGGGCATCCACAATGTTTCTGGGCAACCTGTTCCAGTATCCCACCACCCTCATCACAAAGAATTTCTTCCTTATGTCCAATCTAAACCTACCCTTTTCCAGTTTAAAACCATTGCCCCTTGTCCTGTCACTACAGGCCCTGGTAAAAAGTCTCTCTCCATCTTTCTTATAAGCCTCCTTTAAGTATTGAAAGGCCTCAATAAGGTGTTCCCAGAGCCTTCTCTTTTCCAGGCTGAACAACGTAGGAGAGATGTTCCAGCTCTCAGATGTATTTTTCATGGCCCTCCTCTGGACCTGCTCTAACATGTCTGTCTTGTACTGGGAGCCTGAGAGCTGGATGCTGAACTCCAGGTGTACCAGTGGGGTCTCGAAAGAGCGCACAGAGGGAGAATTACCACCCTCAACCTGCTGTCCACACTTCTTTTTATGCAGCCCAGGATACGATTGGCTTTCTGGGCTGCAAACTTACATCGCCAGCTTATATTTAATTTTTCGTCAACCAGTATCCCCAAGTCCTTCTCTTCAGGGCAGCTCTCAATCAAGTCAACACCCAGTCTGTACTGATACTGAGGATTGCCCCACCCCAGGTGCAGGACCTTGCACATTGCCAGTCACTGCCTCTGCCTTCAGTGTATCTGCCATCCAGCCCCATGCCTAGTGCCTTTTCTCCCAGCTGACGTTTTTCTGTCTCCTTGCTCTTTGTTCCTTTGGACCCTCGCTGCTGGGAGGAGAAATGTTAGGGAAATTTCTGTCCAGTTCTGGGGATACATAATGTTCAGCACAGATCAAATGTTCAGATAACGTATCTCCCAAATTTTCATGAGTCTTTGGAGAGGATGTACAAAATGACATTTTCTTAATAGCTTGTAATTTCTTGAAGTTGGAGCAGTTTATGGAGTAACAAGTGGTGTTTTGTTGACATTGAAAGGATCCTCATCACTTATCAAGTGTTTGCTTTCATGCATGGAAGCTTATGTTTTCAAGAATTCTTGATGTGAGCAAACAACCGCTTTATGCTAACTACTGTTTTAGCGATAATTGAACTGTGTTTGCTGATGTTATTAAAAAAAAGGTAAAGCTGAGGCAGACCACTAAGAAACCAAAGTGAGTATTTTGCCGAAGCTTCAACATCTGAAGCCATGCAGAGTATCATAAGGAAAGCAGTCTTTGAGTCATTAGTATGTACATTGCATCTAATATATAGCCTATATAAATTCTATATAAATTATATACATTATATTTTTTATACACATTCTATACATTTATACACATTCTATATAAATTTCGAATTATTTTACTTCGGAATCTCTTCTATTAGAATATGTGTCTTCTATTAGAATTTGCTGTTCTGTCAAGTATTGTCAGGGACACAAGAATATTTCCAAGTTTTATGTTGACCTTCAGAGGTGATGGCATGCTTATGTTGTTGCAGTACCAATATTTGAAAGATGACTGTCATTGTGAACGTACCGAAATTGAATTTGAACTTCTTCAGCAGGGTTAAAAAATTATGTTTGCCTTTGAATGGTTATGGAGACCAAGGAGCACAGTCTGTTCCCATTTTCCCAGTATATCTGGCATCCCTATTGTGGCAAAAACTTTCACAGTTGCTGCACAATGCAAATTGTCTGTCTCTAAGCTGTGCCTGTTATACGGATTTTTGGATCTGTAGAGGCTCAGTGGCATTTTATCAATGTTGTTCATCTCTTAGTGAAAGATGCTTTCCTGGCCAGCATCTTACTGCCATAGTCACTGTTTCACAATGTGATTGCTGACCAGTATTTTACTGGTGCTCTCCGTGCATCAGAACTTAGGTGGAGAGCTCAGTGGCACAGTAGGGTACAGATGATCATTTTAATTAGGAATCACTAAGTATATTTATTTAATAATTGCTTTGCATGATAGCACTGAATCACCAACCCATTGTCTTATTTGCCAAAATGCATGTTTCATGGCTTTGTCAAAATTGTGGGGTAAGATGAGCATATGGAATGCATTGCAAAAAATACCAGTTTTGATTAAGGCTAATCTCATGCCTTGGGGTCTTTTCGCTAGTAGTCAGGCATGTTTCCCACTGCAAGCCCATTAGGAAGGTTGCATAGTAAAATAATATTAACTCATAGCTTCAAGAATATCTATTTTGTCTTTGGGCTCTTCCACTGCATCAATGCAGTTTCTTCAGTTTGCTCTTAATTCTCTCACAATTCAGTGCTACCGTTGCCATCAGTTCTTTGAATTTTCTTGAACTGTCAATATATGGCACTGCATTTGCTCTGCCAGTGAAGAGACATGTATTGTATGCTTGCTTGCTTTTTCCTCAAGCATTTCTCTGTTCTATGCTCTAAATGTTCTTTATATTTGATGAACTTGTAAGAAATCTAGCATTACAGAAACAGTTTGAGTCAGTGTTTTTTGAGGCACAATGAAGATGTATGAATAGTTTGCCTTATACTGTGACACCATGCAGCTTTACATTTTTAAATGAACTCCAGAACAGGACTTAAGTCCCCAAAACTATTGATTGTTCAAAGCTCCCTATTTTCCTGTTTTAAAAATAAAATCAGAGTTAAACTTGAGAATTGTGTCTTTTTTAGAAATTATTAGAATAATCCATGTAGAAATACTAAAAGTGATGAGTTACTTCATTCTAAGTAGCAAATGCAGAACAGCAATTCATATGAGAAAGTAAGGTTCTTGTATGTTGTGAATAATTACTGGTGAAAATCTGGATATAAAAATGCACAGAGTATCAAATAACTGGTTTATCTCAGGTTATTGGGATGGAAATTACATACTTCTGTCTGAGAGTTACTGCAGATGTGAGGGAGTAACCAAAATTTATCGTAAAACTTTATACTACCATTAATAATTGTTTTGGAATATACATTTAAAGTTAAACTTAAGTTTACACTTTAGATCAGAATATTCTGGCAGCCAATGTCTCATAGACCATACGTATGTTGTTGACATAGTGGCAAGTCAAGGAAATTAGCAGTCTTTAAAGTCCAGCTGTTTTTTTGCTATTTTTCGCTGCTTTCCTTAGAAGAACTTCAGGTTTTGGCAGTATAATGAACAACAAACTATTGTATTAGGGTATTTTTTTCTGTTAACTCTTTTGTCTGTAGCCCTGAAGTGAAACAGTGTCAAGTATTTTGTTAGAGGCAAAACCTCATATAAATGCTTTTTAAAAGAATTATAATGCTTTTCATTGCAAATGTATTTTAACAATGAAGTGTTTTTTCCTGCTCCACTGCCTGCTCAAAAGGTCTTTTGTATTCCTCCTTTGAACGCTTGGCAAACTGCTGTCTTAAGCTTCTGCCAAAGCTTTCTGGGGCAGGCATACCCCTGACATTGGAGGCAAGGCAGACTGAACATAGCTCTTGGGAGAAGCCACTGGTTTTATAACTCAACAGTATTAAACACAGCATCAGTAACGCACTTTACATTGTTCAGTGGATAGTTATGTTAATGATACTATTATTGTCTCTTTGTGACACCATGGAGTCAAGTGAATATTGTTCTCATATTATAGATAATGAAGTGGAACTCAAAACAAACGATTTATTGAAGGCTATGTTATCATTGGCTAGCAAAGCAGATAAGCAGAAAGTGGGAAGTCCTCTGTACTGTAAGTCCACTAGAGAGTGCTGTTTCCAGTTAAATACTACAGCCCTTATTTTTCATTAACAGGATGTATTCACGGGTCTTCTGGAGAGGGAGGGCAGGACAGAACAATTGGGACATTAAGAATAGTAGTTAGTTATTACATCGGGCTCGGCAGAAAGCAATGGAGAAGCATGTCCCTTCTTTCTTCCCATTGCTGGTTACCTAAAAAGGTTGTGAGATGGTGTGACTTCTTCCTTTAACTTCTTAAGCATATAATCTTTTAGATTAAGATAATATGCTTAATTTTCTGAAACTATTATATTTTAGCGGTAATAGTGGTTGTGCTGAGTATTCATTAAAAATAGTATCTTAAAAAGCGTAAGTAGGAGCATTATTTCTTCTCCCCAGAATGAATTTATGGAATTTATTTCTAAAGCTGCTGTTACATCTGTAATCAGAAAAGTATGGCAAAGCACAGTATAGCATATAAATTATTAAATGAGAACTTTGTAACTGATCTTGTATTTTAAATACAATGATTTTAAAGGACAAACCATAAAATAGTAGCATCTAAATATAAAGTTGGAAGCATCCTTTTTCCTCATTTTTCTGAACTGTACTTTCAGAGCCACTAAGTTTCAAAGGCAGTTTTGTTTTCTGGTTGTTTTCGTTTTGTTGATTCCCCAAAACAAAGCCATTTAACCACATAAAATCAGATTCTTTCAGCAAATCTTTGCACAATATTTTTTCTTTTGCAAAAGGATTTAGACAGTCTTTGTGGTATATATCCTAGTTCTGTACATCTTCATAACAAGTATTTAAATGAGTGCCTGAGGCCTTTATTAGCATCATAGAAAAATGCAGAATTTGCTCAGAATTAACTTTTATCTGAACGGGGAAAATTGAAAAATGTCATTGAAGGAGGCTGACAAACATCTGTGTTTTCATGCATAAGTAGTATTACAGTTTTCGTACAGTATCTGATTTTGTTCTTTCTAATACATGCATCTTTTTCTTCAGTCACCTTTCCGCACCTTGCAGGTTCTGCTCCTTCTTGGTCTAGTCTTATGGACACCAGCAAACAGTGGGATTACTATGCACGAAGAGAGAAGGATAGGGAACGTGAGAGAGAGCGATCCCGAGATCGGGATCGTGACCGGGACCGAGACAGAGATCGAGAACGTACCAGAGACAGGGAAAGGGACCGAGATCACAGTCCAACTCCAAGTGTGTTCAACAGGTTAGTGAAATGTCTTAAGCATGCTGTTACGCGGCTCAAAACCCTGCCTGTGTTAAATAGACAACATTACAATTTAGTGTTCAGCTATATTCCAGAGAGCTAGAGGGTGTGGCTTCCTTCCCTCCCCCCTTTTCTCTTGGAAACTATAATTCAATTTCTAAATGTAAAACAGAAGTGTAAAAACAACAGTATACATCCAAACTGGTCATAGTGCTTTACAGGTTAAAGGTGTGTATGAGTGAGATATCCAGCTCTCTTGGACATCAGTAGTTCTAGAAAAATCTATAGAAATACTAAATTAATCTTAGTTGCCAGTTCTGTGCTAACAGCAATGTGTTGCAATATTTGACCTTAATTAATGGTGTTATTAGCTGCTAAAATGGTTAGTTTGGTCATTAGCACTCGCTGGATAATAATCTGTCCTGTCTTTTTTTAAAACTATTATTTCGAGGTCAAGAACTTTTTTCATTTTCAGGCAGATGATGAAAACAATGGCAGATAACTCTGTTTGGTTTTCAACTCTCTAACTGCTTTAAAAAAAAAAAAAAAAGCCGAAACTATTCTGTGGTTCATATGCACAAATACAAAGCATTTAATGTTGAGCTCGCTGTGACTCCATAAAACAGAGGTCTATTGGCTTGCCAGATTTATCTAAATTTACATTGCTTATTATTTGCTAAGTATTTTTGGGTAAACATCCGATGCTTTTCTCAGTGTTTTTTGTTAAGTTTCAATTTTTGCAGAACATACACATTAGCTATTAGGCGTATTGTTTTTACACAGTGGGGAATGAGAGCATCCGAAGTCAACATTACTTCAGTTGAGAGATGACATTTTTTGCATAATGATTGTTAGCTGAAGACCCAAACTGGGTGCAAGATAGGGGATTTTCCATGTATTCTGATGTAGTGATGTCCTCTCCCATGGGCATGTGCTATGTTCCAGGGTCAGTTTCTGAGAACTCGAAACCAATCTAAACATCTGTTTCTCAGACAGCTTGATTGAAGGCCAGAAAGAAGCCTGGTCATTCAAGGGTGCTTAAAATGAATCTTAATAGCTTCCAGGCCTCAAGAAATCTCTGTGCTGCTGCCAGAGTTATCTGTAAAGGAGGGGGAAGAGCAGGCCTCAACTTTTTATGTGACTAAATTATCCACCATCTGTAGCAAAGCTGTTGCCACATGGCTGTGTAAGAAAACGGGAGGCCCTTAACTAGTATAAGTTGGTTTGGGAGTCACAGAGAAGGTGGGAGAGGCTTAAGACAGAACATGTAGACATAATGTTTTTAACAGGGTTTATTTTCAGTTCTATGCACTTAAGAAAATAAAATGAAACAAGGTATGAGGAAGAGAATGTGAACTATTTTAGAGACTACACAGTTGCATTACTTTTATTCCTTTTGTTTAAGCTTTGTTCAAGTGGCACTGTGGTGGGATTTGGATTAAGTATCTTCTTTAGCTTCTTACTGCTCAGAAATAATTGCTTTCAATATTTTTAACAGTTCTTTTCCAGATAAATAGCTTGTATTTGTGCTATAGTATTTCTTAAAATTGTAAGAAATTGGGAATTATTTCTATTCTATTAGTATAATCAAAACGTGGTTTATAAATGAACCTTCAGCTGTCTTTATATTCTGTTCTACCTTTACCCTGCTATCCTCTGGTGAAACTCTGCATTTTTACAATCTATCTCACTCTGTTCCCTTGAGAAGATGCTGTTCTTTTTGGACTATTGTCTCTTCTGCAAAGACTATGTTTTCTTTTTTTATTTTGATAGTTTAGAGTCAATTAGTTACCACTAAAAATGTAAACTTTGGAATTTGATTGATACCTTACCATTTTGTGGTTCTGCCTCAGCAATTTGAAAACCAAACCCAAAATCCAACAACTGTATTTCTAAGGTCCTGGAACTAAACAACCCCATGCAGCAGAACAGATGAGGGTCTGTCTGGCTAGAAAGCAGCTTTACAGGAAAGGACTTGATGTCCTAGTGGACAACAAATTGAATGGGACTCAGCACTCGATGTGTGATAAAGGTCAAGAAGTATTGAGCTGCATTGAGAGTGTACCCTGTAGGTGGAGAATGCTGTTACTCCCCTCTTATTTGACATTTGATACAATGTGCAAAGTACTGTGCTCAGTTTTGGGACCCTTGATAGGAATAAGAAGACACTGCCAGACAGGAGAGTCCAGTGGATGTCTGACAAGGTGGTTAGCAGGGCTAAGGGGATGGAGTTTATTTAGTTAGAAAGGAGAAGGTTGAGCAGGGTTCTTAAAGGCTGTTTTCAACTACCTAAATGGGTAGTTAAGATAGAGCCAGGCTCTTTTTTAAGGTGCACAAAGAAAGGACAAGAGCAATAGTGAAAACTCACAGCAAGAAAAATTCCAATTAGATGGGGGGGAAGGGGGGAACCAGGGAGTAATTACAAAAAAAAGTGATCAGGTGGTAAGGAGAAGTCATGGAATCTCAGTCTTGGAGAAACTCAAACTTTACTAAACAAGGTTCTGAGCAACCTGACCAAACTTCTAAGTTAGCCCTGTGTTGAGCAGGGATTAGCCCAAGTGACCTCCACAAAGTACCTTCCAGCCTAAATACTTCTGTGATTCATTGTTGGAAGGTTTTTTGAATACATGGGAAGGTTTTTGAATACAGATATCAGAAAAGTCAGACACTTACCAAAGTGAATCTCCTGATATGTGAAGTTAATAGCTTGTAGTTTGTTTTTAAAAAGTAAACGAAGGTGTAGAGAATGAAAATTTTATGAATTGGACTTGTTTTGGGCTTCTTTTCCAGGAAGGCACAGGTTCTCTTCCACACATCAAAGGTTGTAGTGCTCTCAAGGCTGTCCCTGGAAGGCTTTGATAACTGTAATGTATGTCAAGATACAAAATGAGGAGATCACTGGTGTAACACTGGGTACATGGCATTTAATTCCTGTTCTTGAAAGCTCTCAACATACTGGACTTGGCATACTGATTTTTTGCTTTACTTATAGAAAGTTTTTTTTATTTTCAGACACACTTACAAGCTGTCACGGTTCCTTAGTGGTTTGCCAAAATAAAGTTTAAAAAGGAGTATCAGTAATATTTTAACCTTTTCCAGAGTGTTTTAAAATAGTTGTGTAACAGAGCAAATGCAGACTGTGGGTTAACATTAAAGATTTTGGATCTCAGCTTTGAAACCAAGCTGTAAGTCTACAAGTAGCCATCTAATTTCTTACGGCGAGCTCATCAGAAGGCAGTGTTAGACATTCACATTTTAACTTTTACTTAGATACTGATCATGAAAATGTTATTCTGGGAAGTAATATCAGATACTGGGAGTAAAATATAGTTGAGTTGGTTATACATTTTTCTGTCCCTGCAAGCCTGCAGAAATGTAAGGCTCCTAAAATTGTGATGACTAGTGGCACTTTAAAGGTGTGTTAGTACAGGAATCCCACGTCTAACAAAATTTTTCAGTTATTGTTCAAATCAGACTTTCCCTTTCGTTACAACTTTTTGGTAGACTTCAGAACCTAATTTTAATTTCATTTTTAACATTATACTTTTTCTTAATGTGTTCTGAAACTGAGCTTTATAACTAGACTTCACCAGGCACATGCTATCTTTATGGTGCTGCTTGATTACACACCAAGTTAAGACAGACTTCAAACATAGATCAAATGAAGGCTGCCATTCTGAACTGCAAAACTAAATGCTGAGTAAGCTAGGCTAGTCTTCTCTTCAGTATGACTTGTCCTAGGAACTAGCAGTTGATACCGACCTTCATCTTTCTGTGACATTTGATGAGAAAACTCTTCTAATTGTTGGTTTTACCCCTTTCCCTGAAGCCTTGGGTTAGTTTCATGTGAGAAGAAATGCTCAGAAGAAAGGGACTTGGATTGTAAATATCTCCCCTACACTTCCTTCCTTTCCCTGATAGTAGAGTAGAAACTTGAGCATAAAACAATGGTAAATGGGCGATACAGATAGAAACAGGTTAAAGGTGTAGGACTTGAGGTTTCGTCATTGTAAGATTTGGGACTTATTTTCTCCTTCCCCCCACCCCCAACTACTTTAGTTTACCTGTCCGGGTTTTGGATATCTCAGTGGAGTAAGTGTCATGGTTTAGCTCCAGCCGGCAACTAAGCACCACGCAGCCGCTTGCTCACTCCCCCACAGTGGGACGGGGGACAGAATCAGAAGAGTAGAAGTGAGAAAACTTACGGTTTGAAATAGACAGTTTAATAGATAAAGCAAAAGCCATGCACGCAAGCAGAGCAAAACAGGAAATTCATTCACCATTCCCCATGGGCAGACAGGTGCTCAGCCATCTCCAGGGAAGCAGGGCTCCATCACACGTAATGGTTTCTTGGGAAGACAAACGCCAGAACTCCAAAAGTCCCTCCACCCCTTCCTCCTTCTTCCCCCAGCTTTATATAATGAGGATAACGTCATATGGTATGGAGTATCTCTTTGGCCAGCCTGGGTCAGCTGTCCTGGCTGTGTCCCCTCCCAGCTTCCTGTGCAACCCCAGCCTTCTTGCTAGCAGCCCAGCACGAGAAGCTGGACTGTCCTTGACTACTTAGCAATAACTCAAAACATCGGCATGTTATCAATATTTTCTAATCCCAAATCCAAAACACAGCTTCTACAAAGAAAATTAACGCTAGCCCATCTGAAACCAGGACAGTATCCACCCCTTCAATCCAAAACACAACTTCTACAAAGAAAATTAACACTACCCCATCTGAAACCAGGACAGTATCCACCCCTTATTCCATATCATTTACATTATGCTCAGGTACCACACTATCCCGTACAACCTCATTGACCAACCCCCCCTTCCCATCCTTTGATATAATACACTGATTATCATCCCCTTAATCTGTAGACCATCCCTGTAAAATGTTTGTGAAATGTTCACAAATGTCCATGAAATGTCCATTGAATTCGTTTAGTCTGTGACTTTGGGCTGCATCTCTTATGGTGGTCACTCAACACAGGTGAGGTAGTGAGTTG